TCACAGTCCCTGTGACCCACATCTTCAATCTCTCCATAAGACAAAACTCCATCCCAGACACTTGAAAACAGCCTTTGTTCTTCCTTTGCTGAAGGGAGGTGACCCCACCTCACTGAACAACTATGGACCAATCTCTGAACCAGGGGTGGGCAATTATTTTTTCCATGGGGCCACATGAGAAACAGCAAATATTGTGGAGGGCTGGCACAAATGACTTTTTCATTCAACCTTTATTTAGACGGTAAATCCCATTGAGCCTCGAGGACTCATTTACAAGAGAGACCTGATTTCAACTAAACTCAATACTGCATAATATTAATAGTATTTCATTATTAAAAGCAGTACATAGTACTGTTTTAACAAGCTGGTAAGAGTATTTGTTATGATTAAGCAACGAAAAAGCGAGGTTTCCTTACAAAAAATGTCATTTATTCAATTAAATTCCCCAGTACAATGGTAAACTGTTAACATTTTTACCATTTGTGACGTTATATTAATGATCATTTTCAGTCACATTCACCCCAAAACTCATTTTGAGTTTTATATACTGCTGGAAAAAGTTCTTAGCTTTGTAAATATATCACAATATTGTCTTTGTACTCCAAATATTATGAAACATCATATAATAGTGATCGTCACTGAACTGTGATTTCGAGTCCCGGTTCTTTACGTGCCTACATTTGTAGTCTAAATATCTCATTTGGTGTTTATCAATTCTTTTTTCTTGTTTAGTGAGAGAAGTCTTGTCTCTGTTGGGCTTTAACGGAAGTGTTAAACTCAGGTTCAAGGTCTGAGGTGGAGATGTGAAGCAAAGCTGACATCATTGAGAGAGGATCTATATCTGGATTTGGTTAACTTCATTTGTTTACATATGTATTTTGTAATTCCCCTTACGGGGGCCGGTGAGAGTCAACCAAAGGGCCGCATGTGGCCCTGGGGCCGTACAACGCCCAGGTCTGCTCTAAACTCTGCATTTTAGCCAAGGTTCTAGAAAAACTGATAAACTCTCAAATCAAAATCTAAAAAAGTTAAATCTGGTCCTCTGGACATTCAAAAAAACAAAACAAAGCAAATCAACAAAAAAATGTAGAAACGTTTCGTCTCTCATCCGAGAGACTTCCTCAGTCTGAGGTGCTGTATTCAGCTCAGTCTCTTAAATAGCACCTTCTCAGAGTGGATCAACCAGTTTGCTGCTGACAACCAGAACCAGCTGATCACATGCTCAAGAAGGACCATCAGCCTAACAATGGATCATTAGCACCTGATGGCTGTTTACTGTTCACAGAGGGCTGAGTGATACTAGCAATC